ACATAAATATTTCAAAATTACAAATGAAAGAATCAATCAATAAATAAGAAAATAAATACGCACAAACAATAAATTAAAAAATAAATGACTTAACCGGTTATAAAGAGTTAATATTAATTGCAACTTATTTGAGACTGATATCAATCGCAACTACAATGTACATGTATGAAGATAGGAGACTGCAAACTTTCAATTGATTGGAGAACTTGCAAATGATTTGGATCAATGGCATAAGACGGGGCCCATTATGCTGATAGTTACATTACATGTAGTTCACACATGCCTCTTCTATGTTTAAATATTCCAATTTTACACAAAACTCACTTTCTAAAAAAAATGATGGAAAATGAGCACAATGAAGTGATTCAGTTTGATGAGAGCTAGAGGGGCATTAGCTCTGTTTAGAAAGTACTTTTAACCCAAGAAATAACTTTAATTATTCTGAGAGATCTGTTTTATTCTTGCCCATCAATCTCTAAGATTCCCCAACGAAGTGTACGTGTATGAAGCAAGATATTCTCTGGCTAGTAGCCAATGATATTTTAGCATGCTGGTCTGTCAACAAACATAACCTCTCTACTTTCTTATTTTATTTCTTAGAGGGCAAGTGAACTTGTAGCATTTTGCATGGTACAGCAATACAGCATACATGTACATAAATGTACATGCATGCATCGTCTCTTTGGAGCGAGAGGGGTGTTAACTCATATACTTTAACACAGAGTAAATGCTCTGCTGGCCCTGAACTGATGATGTCATGATGAATATCATTTCTGAACAGATATTCCCAAAAATGGCAATAAGCTCATTTATACTCTAGTTGTCAGAAACTTCTGCACAATGAAATTTACATGACAGTAATGAGTTGTCTCTCTAGAGCTGTATTCCAATGGTGGAACCTTAATTGACTGGGGCAGACAGTTGGCTATGAGGCTGCTGGCTTAATTAGGAATCAAGCCAGGATTATAGATTAGGACGAATGGTCCAGTGGACAAGGGAGAGCGAGGGTGGGGGAAAGGTTGAAAGTGTTGGCAGAGGGTGTATTAGCGCTGTGACGTAAGTATCTGGTGGTATGTCAGCTATCTTATGAAGACAGCAATTAGTATTGGAGACCAAGGATGCGCTTCTATGTGCTGTATACTAACAGGAGGAAAGGTGTATATGGAGTACAAAACACTACTCTCACTGGTCATTTATTTGTTCTATGTACATGTACATGAAGATTGATGGGTGGGTGGACAATCTTTAAGAAATTAAAAACAAAGTTTATGCTTGCAGAAATGCCAAAAAGAGCCCCAGAAAGTCATAAAAGAGCCCCCCAAAATTTGCATAGAGTATTAGAGTTCAATGCAAAACAATTTAAAGAGTGTTATTTTCATGCAAGCAAGGTTGAAAAGTAGCCCCCAAAATTGTTTCCCTGTACCATAGAATTTTCTGTAAGTTAGTATGAGTTGTTGTGGACTCATCTTTCGGCACTATGTACACGAAACAGTTTACCATAAAAATAGACGTGCATGTACATGTAAATATTTTTAAAAACATAACATAAGCTATGGCTCCAAAGTTAGTTTACAGAAACCCCAAATCACTCGACCCCCCCCCCCCCCCCAAAAAAAGGGCATCTTCAGGATACTGAAAATAAATAAATAGATTAATTGATAAATAAATAAATAAATAACTAAATGAGAGATGCTGATCCAGTTACACAAATAGCTAAACATCTCTTGATCTCTTAAATTTTTACCAAACTTTTGGTAGCTTTATGAGAAAAAAATTAACAATATTAAAAAACTAGAGAAAATAAAACTTTAAAAGATCTATTTAAAAAAAAATTAGGTTGCATTCTCAATCGTCAGTGAAGTCCTCAAGCCTCTGTTACATGTAAGCTGTCATGTTGTGCTTTACAAAAAATAAGCATTAAATGGCAGTGACCATCATTTGTCCTTTATAATTATGATTAATATTGTCCAACTTAAGGCTTAAAAGATTTATGAAGCATTGCTTGTAAAGTGTAAACTCCTTCAAATGAATGTTTGAAATCAACTGTCTGGATAGACCTATAACCAACCTGTAGGGACACACGGCATGTACATGTATAGTTGTATACATGTACATATGTACAAAATGAAACAGGAAAAAAAGTACAAGAGCCAACAATCAACATCCCCACAGACAGACATTCTGCTATCATGCATTTTGGGGGATGAAATAATGTGAAATATAGGCCGTTTACACTGCAAATAAATTACATGCTTCACACAGCCTACAACTTTATGTAACACTAACAATAACAGTAACACCAACACTTGACTTAACAATAACACTAACACTGAACAATAACAGTGTCGATTGAATATGTCATTGTGATAAAAACTGGTCTATTTATTTGTCCAAGCAAATGCGCCCAAAAAAATCCCTGAACCTCATTTAAACCCCTCCCGTTGTTCGAAAATTCTGCAATTTCACTTGTCTACTAAAAGTCTAAATGATCCTCTCACTCAGTCTCACTCTTACAATAAATAAGGCTAAGGATTGCACGACATTACTCATTTTGCACAAGGATATAGACTATCTCCATATTTTAAAAAGGTACGCTTTCTTGACTTTTCTTTCTCGAGTTAATCTGATTAATTATTGGTTCTTACCCATCAGGTAAAATACTCTTCGAGTCCTTTCTCTGCAGAGGTTCGTTTCCAGCAGCCGCTCCAGCTGCAGCAGCCATGATGATTTGAATAATCCGCTATGAATATTATCAGACTTTTTTTCTCAGATGAGATATGATTCTCCGAAAATGGACTTGTGTTTTGACACTGCTAACCTGCTAACTGCTGTGCTAATTGTGACAAATTCAAAGTCACACCTGTCCTGCACACTGACCGAGTCAGTGGTCGCTCTCAGTCTCAGACTCAGGAGCGCTTCCCAGCATCCAGGATAAACTATTCAATGCAGACGACGACTGTCGCGGTCAGTCGACGTCGAATCGTGAGCTTTGCGGCCTTTGCTACGACATCAACATGCCATGGATGTCAGCTGAGTTCACAGTCGAGTTGCAGAATGAGCTTATTCGAGCTCCGAGTATTACGCAGCGAGCTACTGGCTTTATTTACGGTGTTACCGAAGTAGCGCACGGGGGCGGTGCGGCCGAGTTGATGTTTGTATTAGGCGTATGGAAATTTCACCTCAACTACGTGGAACCTAGACGTTCAACAACATCACTGCTACTCAATTTATGGAGTCTTCAAAACGTCCGATACAAGAGAAAAAGTACTTGTATGATATGAGAGGGCGGAGTGCCCATAATAATAATTTACAATTTTCAAGTTTCAAGTTTTAAATTTATTTGTCTTTTTTCGAACATGAATGTAATAAAATTTGACAATTTTATAACATGTAGAGTATATAAAAGGAACACTTCTAAGGAACAAGTTTATATTATGCATTTGAGAAAGAAAGACGAGGAGAGTTTAGTTAAAAAAAGCTTTTGAAACTGAAGTTGAACATTTGTTATGCTGGTATGGGATGAAACAGGAATAGGCGGCACACCCTAAAATACTGAAAGATCTATACAAAGAAAAGTCACTATAATTATGAGAGTATGAATCGTTTTAATCTGCCAGATATTTGATAATCTGAAAACTGTATTTTTCATATTTAAAAAAAAAAAAAAAAAAAAATCTATTTTAGTCCATGCACCCCATCCCCCGCCCAAACATATATAAAAAAAAAGCAGAAACACGAAGTTGCAAACCATCCAGAGACTCCTAATGAATTTCGTTACTGACTAATTAATTATATCATTACAAATCTTTATTCTCAGTTTTTTTTTATGTACAACTAATTTTCTTATAAAACTGATATATGGCGTATATATTCAATACTAAATGGAAGCCATTAAACTATTACCAACAACAACAACAACCCAAACATAAAGATCACTACTATCGATGCGAAATTTCCATCAAAGGATCTCTTTATTGGTAAAAGGCAAAGGATATTAGATTTTTTTTGTTTTAACTAATAGAATTTTTATAATATATGAACATTTTGCACTGTTCATTTTTTTAATTCTTTATAACGAGCCCTGCAAGAATAATGTTGTATAGAGTTCATTGCTCTCATCTCCACCCGCCTGGTTCCCATAGTTAAACACTCTCTCTCTCTCTCTCTCTCTCTTTCTCTCTCTCTCTCTCTCTCTCTCTCTCTCTCTCTCTCTCTATTCCGTTATGGGGACATTTCTTGTTCTAATGAAAATTCATTCGTCCGAAGTTCCAGCAATAGTGGTGCACTTCAAAATAAAACATATATATATAGTTCAGGTTGAACAGTGTTGAATATTAGGCAAAAGCTTACTAGGGCTGTTACAAGTGTTCAAGACAGCCTATTACGGTGAAAGACGGTGATCAATCAGAAATTATATCAAAAAATGCATTGATTTTTAAAGCTGATGTCATCATGTAAGAATAAAAGTATATAGTGGCATATAAATAAATTACATGCGCTTGTTTTTTATTGTATATTTACTAATTGAATTTATATCTACCATAAAAGTACCGTAGTAATAATGATTAGAAAATGGTCATCTATTAAAGCAAATGTACTTCAGTCAGTATTAAGTGAAAAGCTTTTGTATAACAATATTTCAATATTTCATTAAAATAAATCGAGGTATAAAGTATGAATTTTAATTCATTTTGAATATTTGAGAAAACTGTTTTCTTTTTTTATAGTTTAAAATACTAGGACCTGGAACACAAAGCTTAGCAATTGTTTGTACAATGATTTTTTGTAATTGAATGCACATGGTGATCAATGCAATCAATCGCAAAAGTCAACCGTGGTATACTGGTATTGGGTCGCCAGCCTGACTGGTCATCTTTGACGGGACGGTGAAAAGTTGAAAATTCATTATGTGGTAGTGGAATCCACTGATCTCTTTTCCGTAGAGATCAGTGGTGGAATCCCATATTATTCTCTGAGAGATACCGTACCATTGTTTTTCAGAATTGATCTGCTAAAATTAATTCAAGGTGGTCAGCTTGAGTCAGCAAACGTCACTTTTGTGTTGATAAATACGCATATTTTACCTTTTTATTTCTCAGCAAAAGTATAATTGGACAATGGATGTAGAATTCAAGATTGCTTATGGAGTTGCTGGAAGAAATATATTGCATTATGGTGAGAAATACATGTATAAACCTGACCATATACAAAGGTGTAGTCCCACATGTTATAAAATTTGTCATTTAATTTGTTGCAAATCTATCTTATCATGAAAATGGTTGTCATAAAAATGTCATTGACATTTTTTTGTTTTGCTTTTGCTTTGTATTAAGTTTAAGTCCCCTGTATAAATGTTGCAATAGCCTATAGTTTAAATTATGTGACATATTTTTTTGTTTTCATTGTCAGTAAGGGAAAGAGTTAATGAATAATGTGGAGAGATGTGTGAATTTTGCAAAGATGACATTTGAATGTTTATTGCAAAGTTCCAAACTTGTTTTCTTTCAGCTGTGCATTCTGACCTTGGGTTTGTATGGACTGATGGAGAATGTGTTTATCTGAGTGCAATAACCGACAGTGGTCATACGATACCATCAATGCATAACACAAAGACACTTGGAAAATTCAGGTATTTTCAGGAATTTAAACCTACTGTAGTCAACCAATAAATCACAACTTAACTCAACTGATATCCAAATATAACAAAGGAAGAAGAACAACAAGAAATACAATTAAACGTGAATAGAGAGGAGTGCAAAAGTTTGTTTCTCCTGTAGTTCAAAATTATTGATGTGTTCATCTGAAATTAATAGCAGTATTGTGAACTTGTAACTTTTATATCAGACAAATGAATTATTGGTGTGTTCTCATTATTCTAATGATGTTTGTTATCTTATTCAGAGCTCACATATTTGGTTATACAGTTAGCTTGATATTACACTTTTACCAGTTTGAAGCATACATGTAGTTCATGCATATTTGAGAACAAGTATTAAAGCAGTAATAGTGTGATAAGGGATTTGCTTAAAGGCAATCCAACATTGTAATAAGTTCATTTGTATGAAAGCAGAAAAAACAAGATAAACAGAATGGCGAAAGTTTGAACTAAATCAGACCAATACTAAAGAAAGTTATGAATGTTTGAAATATGAGATCGCCAAGTCTATGTGAATCTCAAATTGGCAGTTTTACTTTCAAGGTTGGATTTCCCTTTATTGCATGATTAAAAACAAGTAACTATGTGATCATTCAGAGCGATGCTTTGGTTTAAGTCATTTAGAGAGATGAGTTTTAGTGACCTTTGCACTTTTGTGTGAAAATTCTAGTGAGGTGACAGGATGTTCTTGGAGTCAGTGTCAGACGTTAGGAACACACTACCTAGCTGTGCAGCACAAGACTTGTGTTGTTATCTGGACAGTAGAAACAAGGTATGCTTGTACAAGATAAAGTTGAGTTCTGGTCATGCGATTGCATTGTGAAAGAAAAAGTGTGGAAGTGATCAGAAAATTTGATCATGTAGCATGTAAGTATTGGTGTGTACTGCAAGGTTCTGGAGTCATCAAAATCATAATAGATTTGGCCCAGTCTTGGTAAAGTAACAAGCACTGTACGGTGTCGGGCCTACTTACCTTGATTACCTTATCTTTCAATGCTCATTACTCAGCCAGTATACATTTTCTACCAAAGTTTTTCGGCAAATGACATTTATTTGTAATCTTGAACATTCAGTGTAAGTTTTGTTTGATTCTGTGATAATTAATTTTCTTTTTTTTACCAGAACTCAAGTTTATCTTTAATATCTTCAGTTAGTGAATTAAGAGAAGGTTTTATGACAACCATACAAGAGGATTGAGTGGCTGGGTTGATTGTGGGGAAGAAAGCTAAATTATTTGACAATAAAATGCAGTACCTTATGTAACCATACCATTGCTAAAAGACAATCTATCCTCACCAATATCCTGAGAGGGAGAAACAGTGCTAATATCAGGATCTCGTACTGCCCTGTTTTGCATTTTAAAGCATGTAAAAAATAATTGACGAACAAAATCTTTCTCATTCATGAAATTCTCTGTGAAGTTAATATGGAACAGTATTGCAGCCAGTGAATGCATTATGGTTGATGGCTTCTTTTATTTCACCTTTGAATAGGAACTCTGCCAGTAATCGTGAGTTCAAGAAATTCTATACAGTAGAGCACAGAGAGCAAGGAAGAGGTAAGTGTAGCTCCTTTATTTCCAATATTAAGGTGGTTTAAAAAATGAAGTGACCCATGAAGAATTGCTATGAAAGAAAAGTCATAATTGTTAAAAATCATTGTTTGATGCGTAGATTAGAAGTAGGTCCATTCATTAAGATCTAGAGCAAGTATGTACTCCTACTATCCTGATTAGGCTATATTATAGTAAAAGTATAATTCAGCTCAGGTATGAGAAACCGATAGATTACAACTACTTATGTCGGGTGATGTCAGTCCCAATCCTGGACCCGTTACATCTGAGGAGTATAGACAAACACTCCCAGCTGGAAGAACTTTAGTTCATAATGTAAATGATAAATCTTACACTAGACTTGATCTTTTGCAATTAAATGCTTTGCCCATTAACCAACAATGGCATTTCCTTCATCCTGATGTTATGAGAAAAATCATTAGCCTAGGAATAAGTCGTAACCCCAAACTCAGAAAGAGAGCCAATAGGTGTAAACGGGGAGGCCGAAGAAAACAACATAAAATCCATGTGCTTGTTTCTCAGTTTGGTCTAAACGACAAAACTTCTGTTAGAGGAATCAATCACGATAACTTAATTGTTATTAATACCAATACCGAAAAGATATATGGGTCTTGTTTAAAGATGTGTTTGTGGAATGCTCACTCTATATGTAATAAGACCTTCCTACTCCATGATTACATTTCTGAACATGATATTGATATAATGTTTATAACTGAGACGTGGCTTAGAGCAGAAGATCCAGTCGTCATAGCCGAATGCTCTCCACCTGGGTACACGTTTATGAATGTTCCAAGGCCGACCGATCCTCATGGAGGCATTGCAGTCATTTTCAAGTCTCCACTTCAACTACATCTGAAGGTTTGTGAATCTGTGACTTTCTCCACTTTTGAACTCGCACACGTTGTTAGTAATACAGGTTCGATTCATTTCCTGGTAGTTTATCGACCCCCACCTTCTTCACGAAATCGGTTTCGTACTGCAGACTTTCTTCAAGAACTTGATGATCTTACCGCTGAGATATCACGGCTATCTGGACGAGTTCTTCTCCTAGGAGACTTTAACATCCATGTCGATATGCCTTCAAAGTCTGAGGTAGCCCAGTTCCTTTCCATCATAGAATCAGCAAACCTGTCTCAACACGTCCATGATGCTACCCATAACATAGGTCACACTTTGGACCTTGTCATGACCAGGAATGAGGATAATCTACAGGGACAATCCTCTACAGATATTAATTCTATCCATGACTGCGTCATAGAGGACATTGTCATACACCGCAACCTTATGTCTGATCATCACTGTATACGCTTTGTACTGAAGTGTCCCAAGCCAGTGATGTGCAAAGTAAAGCAGATTTTTCGGAACTTCAAAGAGATGGACGTCGAAGGCTTCAAAGAAGCACTGGTTGTTAGAGTCAACAACCCGCTTTCTATGACTGGAGATGTAAATTCACTTCTTGCTGCCTATACCACAGCCGTGGCAACCTGTGTCGACGAGTTTGCCCCACAGAAATCAATTCTTCGCTCCACTAGGGTTCGTAATCCTTGGTTCAATGAAGAGATCCTTGTTGCACGCCGTGTAAGAAGACGGGCTGAACGGAAATGGATCAAAAGCTCTTCTGAGACAGATCACACAGCTTTTAAGCTATCTAACAGGCATGTAAATGAGATCATTATTAAGACAAAGCAAAAATACATAATGGAATTACTCTGTAAAGCTAGTGCCAAAACTGTTTTTCAAACGGTTAATAATCTGCTCCACAAGAATGTTAAAGTTCTCCCTATGTATGAAAATCCTACTGACTTAGCAAACCGTTTTGCTTTGTTCTTTGTCAATAAAATAAGTGATATTCACAACAATGTCACAGGCATACCTCCACGAAGTAGTGAAGGCTGTAGGATGTGCAATACTGTTTATGAGAATGATTGGAATGAGTTTGAAACTGTGAGCGAAGATAATATCAAACGCATTATAATCCATATGTCTAATGCTACTTCTATGTTAGATGCTCAACCTACTTGGCTTTTGAAGAAACTTATCAATTGTAATGTTCCTGCCTTAACTTGTATTGTAAACAGTTCTTTAGCATCTGGTATTTTCCCAGAAGCTGCTCACGAGGCTGTAGTTGTACCTATCATCAAGAAACTCAACTTAGATAAGGATACTTTACGTAACTACAGGCCTGTTAGTAATCTTTCACATGTTGCCAAACTGATAGAAAAGGTAGTAACTATTCAACTCACAGACCACTTAAACGATAACAGCTTATATGATCCAATGCAATCAGCTTACAGGTCCAATTTCAGCACTGAAACAGCTCTTTTGAAGCTACAGAATGACGTTTTAACATTTTTTGATCAACGAAGGTCAGTTTTCTTAGTCTTATTAGACCTTAGTGCAGCTTTTGATACGGTCGATCATGTGATATTACTTAATCGTTTAGAGTCTCGTTTTCATATATCCGGTGTAGTTCTTAGTTGGATGAAGTCATACCTAACTGGATGGTCATCCAGGGTAAATATAGCTGGGGAATTATCTGACCCATGGGTATCTGATTTTGGAGTTCCTCAAGGGTCAGTTCTCGGACCGATCCTTTTTAGTTTATATATCACCCCAATATCTGATATTATTAATAAATATGGTTTACAGTATATTTGCTACGCTGATGATATTCAGTTATTTATTTCTTTTGACCCACGCTCTTTGGAAAACATTAACGAAACACTCCACCAAATCTCACTGTGCATTGCAGAGATCAGCACTTGGATGTCGTCGAACTATCTCCAACTTAATAATAACAAAACTGAATTCATGGCCTTCTGTTCTTCCGCTCACCATCTTCAATATATATCAGATGTACAGCTTAAAGTAAATAATCAATTCATTCCTCTCTCTCCTAAAATTACAGATCTTGGTGTATGCATCGATAATATGTTCAAATTGACCTCTCATGTAAACCAAGTAGTCCGTAATAGTAATTTTCATCTCCGCAATTTATGGAGGATTCGCAGATTTATTGATTTAAAGACATGTCACCATGCTGTCCGAGCTCTTATTATTTCTAGATTGGATTACTGCAATAGTCTTTATACTGTTTTATCTGCTAAAGATAGAAGGAAACTTGAAACTGTCCAGAATCGTGCCGCTAGATTAATTTTTGGCCTTGGGTCAAGAACTCATACTTCACCTTTACTTAAGGAGCTCCATTGGTTACCTCTTCACCAACGTGTTCTGTTTAAATTCTGTTTGTATGCTTTTAAAATACTCAATCATCTGGCACCTGAATATCTTAATGACACCCTCCAAATATATACACCAACTCGTAATCTTCGTTCAGCAACCGACACATGTAAACTTAACATTCCCAAATCTAGACTCTCAGTAGCTGAAAAACGCTTTGCAGTAGCTGCATCAAAGACATGGAACAGCATCCCTCTTTCCATAAGGAAAATTACCTGTCTTGCCACCTTCAAAAGATCCCTCAAAACTCACCTTTTCCCCCAATGATCTATGTGATATGCTTCCTGTACTGTACTTTCTTGTCCTCTTTACATATATTTGTATTTGTAAGCGCTATGGTACTTATTGTTTTTAGCGCTCCTAAATATTCGATATTATTATTATTATTAGACATTGAACCAACCTAACCAAAACTGGTACTATATTCTTTCTGGGGCTCTGGGCATGTTGTTAACTGCTTCTATAGGCACAGTTTACTCAGCTACTCTGATAATGATTGCTATAACTATACTTATGAGTAGAGTTAGGTATTACTATTACTTCCTTCTTAGTACATATAATAACCTTGTTAATGGAAGTAATTCACTTAAATTTTCCCCAAAAGATCATCCTTTGCCTCATTATAAGAGGAATTTACCTCTTTTGCATATATAAGAGGTTTTGGGTCAGTCAGGTTTTGAACAGCTCATCATTTGGATCCAATTCATACATCATACACGTCTTGTAAATACCTTTTGCAGGATGTGTATGGCACCCAAGAAAGCCACTCCTGGTGGTATTCACCAAGTCTCAAGTTGTCCTCTACAGCATTCAGAATGGTGAGACCAATGTCCTGGACAATGGACTGGACATTATCGCTGCATGCTGGACACAAGATGGACACCATCTAGCCTTAGCTGATGGCAACCAACTTCAAGTAAATATTATATCATGTCTAAACTCCTGTAAGAGCCTTATTGGATCATTTTTTGTATAGTTTAATGCTACTTACAGTTCCCTACTTTAAAGTGTACAAATTATCTAGAAAAATCATTAGTGTACTGCTGGAATGTACAAGACTAACCTTAAAAAACTTAAGGCAGCGTTCTATTGGCTAATGGATAGGGAATATGAAGAAGAAGAAAAAGATAACAAGATTATCCTATTAGAATTAAGTTATCCAATGTGCATTTGTGTTTATCTGTAGCTATGTTTAATTTAGCTATTATCAAGAATGAAATCTTACATACTGTATGGTGGTTTTTTAATTTTCAATGGTAGATGTAGATGTTCAAGTATTATTATATTGAACATGTTTTTTTGCTAAGCTGAAAGCAACAAAGAAATTGTTATATATTTCAATTTAATCCATTGCTTTCTTTACCACTATTACGTACAGATTTTTACAATGGATAAAGAGAATGAGACGACAACAGACATGCAGTCTACATTGATAGAAGGGTATGTGATCTTCAAATCATACAAATAGTGTATGTCGCATATGTGCTGTGGGAAAATATCTACATAGTTTAGAATAACGGGAAGTGAACTGAGAATGGCAATTCAATGAAATGATTTGAAAAATGTCTAACAGGTCAAAGGGCATTTCATTGAAGGAAGAAATGAATTAAGGAAACAAAGAATTGCCCCTGTCGTGTACTGGTAGGTCTTTCTTTACAGACAATATCAAAATACTGTGATCTGGAGAAAAGTTCCAATAAAAGATAATTTCAAATGCTTCCCTTACTGTTCCACCTGCCAAACATCCACATTTGTAATAATATTCTCCTCATCTCTATGACATTGTTCTAAGAAAATTATTACTTAGCAATCTATTTCTTTCTGTCTTATTTTTTTAATAGCAATCTTGGTTCTGTATGCTCCATGATACCCATCTCAAAACACACCATTGCTATAGCAACTGAGCTACCTCTGCAGAAGATTGTGACAGAGCTGTCAGCTGACCTGTTTTCACCAGAGACTTCAGTGAACGAGTGCAATAAGGAGGATGTACAGAACGGTTCCCATTCTGTGGTGCGTGAAAGCAGGGCCTGTGTGCCCGTCACTCATGACCATCCTGATGGCCATGCCTTGGTTTATGACTTGAACTTGGAAGCAAATTGTGACCTGGTGAAACTTCCCATCAAAAGGAATGTGGAAATTTGTTCATCATTCATCAAACAAAGTACAGAAGGGGACATTGGTTCATTGGAATCTGTCATCAATGGTCACCAGAACAACTCCTCTGCAAATGCTGACAAGTCTAATGCAAGCAGGATAGTTGAGGATGCATTGAAAGAGAGGAAAGGTCCGATAGACGTGATGGACATTTTATCTCGGACAAAAGAGCGTAAAAGGAGCGATCTTACCGAAACCAAAGTAAGCAATGATGAGAAACATAGTGGAAGCATCAATCCTACAGTTAACAGTACTAATGAAGGTGAAACAAAGGATTGTCCAAAACCCATGTATGCTCCATGCAGTGGGATGAATGGCCGGGAGGCAAGGACTTGCATGTACCAGGCTGAATCCATTGATGAAAAGCCACACTATCACCTAACCAAAGACTTGAAACTGGAAAGCAATAATGGATGTCATGAGGGCATACCTATAAGGGGAAAAGCCAGTATAGTAGGAAGCAAGCTTCAGACCAGGCATGATGGGAGAGAGAAATCATCAAGTGAAAGTGAAAACAAAATGGTGGACCTGACCTTCTTGAGATCACATGGTGCAAGGGGAGTTCCCCAGTTCAAGCAGACAAGAGAGGTAGGCCTAAGTACTTCTATGTCTTTTTCTGCAGAGTTGTAAATCTTGAATAAGAAAAATAAATTTGTGGAAGAGCTACCATTACTGCAAATAATAATAAATAATACATTATATTTCTATAGCGCTTATTACAATGTTTCTAAGTGCTTTACAAAGTTGGCAATACTTAGATAATAATACATTCAATATCATACTTACATACTTTATACTAATCAACCTACAATTAATTCAAAATACATAAGCACAGATACATCTAGTCAATACATATAAATACAATAGAATACAATTAATTTTAGGGCAAAACATTATAAATTCAAATTAAGGCAATTACATTACATCTACAGTGAATAACACATTCAAGCTACAGACTAACAGGGATTTACAGGGAGAATTAAAAAGGAATGTCTTTAGGGAGAATTTGAAAGAATCTAACAATTTTTTTAGCAGTTTAGCATTGAATATTTTGTTTCTCAAACCTCTGTCATACAGTTTTCAATTGTGGATTATTTTGTGGAGTATTTCATAACAAAATATTATTCTGAACCAGAAGGGTATTAACTCTGTGTTAAAGTATATAAAATTACACCCTTCTGGCTCCAAACTATCATATGTGAATGACTGACTATAACCTGACACCAGCTCTAGAAACAATACAGAAATGATATATTATGACTTCTTTTAGAAAACTAGCTTAGATAATCAATGGCACCCATAAATTGTCATGCTGAAAGAAAAACTTGAGATCAATTTATTTCAGTACATATCGTAGATAGATGATGAGACAAATAGTATAACTCTAAACTCTCTCTCTCTCTCTCTCTCTCTTTTTTTCCTTTGCTTAATGAACTTGTAATGAAGAATAAATGAATTTCCATAAGGGGAGCCTTCCAAAGTTGCGACTGTGCCCGGACGCGTCGGGGCGCGATGAATAGAACAGTCGCGTCTCAAGAGACGCATTGAGGCGCAAAGGGGCGCGAAGGGGCGCAATAGTCACCCTCATCTGATTCTTGCATATGAAAAGAAACTGTCTATTGTTGGTATAAACCCGCTCTATTCTTCTTGCGCCCTTTTGCGCCCTACCAGGCGATGGAAGATTATCTTTCGCGTCATTGTTCTCGCTCGGGATGCGCGGTACAGCTTAAACTTGATATATAGCAAGTATTTGTCGGCCAAAGCCTGTCTTCCCCTCCTCCGGTTCTCGTTCTGATAAACATTCCATTGTTTGTAAAAACTTGATGTATTCTTCTCGCGTCGCGATCTATTCTTCTCGCGCCGTTTTGCGTCGTAACGGGCGGGGTATTATCTTTCCAATCATTGTGGAAGCTTTGCGATGTAAATTGCTACAGCACAGCATGAACTTGTCTGGTGGGAGCGTCTTTGTTTCCGGGGGGGGGGGGCAATCAACACACATTTTATTTTTGTTGGGTTTAATACGCCTCCTTTTAATTTTTGTGACGACTGTATGAAATGTGAAATAAAGATGACTATGTACGATTAATGGTTGTTTAATTGCGAGCTTGATTGTCCCCAACAACAAAAAAATAAAAGGCGAATGATGTGAATGAATACATGTATGCGGTTATAGTCGGCAAATTGATTACTGTTTAGGACGCTTGTTATGTTTGTAATTTGAATGATTATCAACATATTTGTATAATTCCCACATTGCGATATTATTCTAGCGTCCTAATAATGGACAAAGGAATTATCTTTCTCTCCCGTCATTCATATTCACGCTACGCGTTGCCACAGCCTGAGCTTGGAAGAATATATATTTTGTCAGTAAAATCCTCTTTTTTTCTTCTTCTCCTCCCTTGACTTGGTGCTAATAAATTGAAGGTTTGCTTATTAGGGATAAGGAGGACAACATCAAACAAAAGATCTACTCAAGATGACGCTCTTTTCATTTCACCTCGCTGTTTGATAAAGTAGAGTTCTGTATGAAGCGAATACAAAAGAAAAGTTCGCTCTAAAGGAAAAAACATAAAATGCTGTGGCAGGATATCACGCCAGAGATTTGCCTTCGAAAATTGGCCGTCCATAATGCGTTTTGAATCATAATAATTCCATAGCTCTTTTTAAAAGTGGAATGAATAGAAAAAAGAGTCTAGGAACTATATCGAGATTATAAAACATGTGTGTCATGAAGATGTAAACAAAAAGCATAGCTTGATGGCGATAAAGTTGAGCAGCAAATGGAAATGCCATACAAAACATTAAGCAGTTCATGGTGATAATTTATCATTCGACTTCTACTTTGCGCTATATGTACTAAATGATCGCAAAACGGGCAGGGACACAAATACAAACATCGATTTCTGCTCTAAAATTCGAATCATTTATTCGTAGATTTGTATAATTAAGTGGCGAAAGTGAAATTTTGAAATCATACTGCACAGATACAAAAACATACCAAACATATTTTGATTCTAAATTTTAAAAGATCTTTTTAAAAGGAGGGAGGCGCTTTAGCCCAGTGGTAGAGCAGAGCAGCTCGTAACCGGGAGCTCCCTGGTTAGAAACCAAGTCGATATGCTAGTGCCCTTTGGTAAGGCATAACTCAACATTACATTTCGTTCGGAGAGGTCTTAAAGCCGCCGGTCCCCTGTTTGCCTAATTCAGAGCATATGCTTCATGTAGCAGCCAGGTAAAAAAAAAAAAGCAAACGGTACAGGAAGCTACCTTTTATGGATAGGCCTAAATTGACGTTTGACTTAACTAGGGAGAAGAAGGATAACATCAAACAAAAGATCTACTCATGATGACGCTCTTTTCATTTCACCTAGCTTTAAGAAAAAGTAGAGTTCTATGGAACGAATACAAAAGAAAAGTTCGAATGCTGTGGCAGGATTTCACGCGGCCGAGCAAGGCTATTGTTTGATCGCTATAATTGTCCGACTTGCTATAGATTCTTGTTTAGGTACACTATTAAGGCTGCGTATTATGTGTGTGTGTGTGTGTGTGTGTGTGTGTGTGAGGGAGGGGGGCGGCGAAGTGAACGGCCGGACGTAAATGGCAGAGGCCCATCAGGAGGGCTCCGCTCGCTAGTTATAAGGACCGCTATTCATTGGACAACTATTCATGAAGACCGCTATTTGTAATTTTAGAACATGGTCATTATGCATAAGGGTCATGAATTCGTAATACGATATCCCCCTCCCCAAAACTAAATAAATAAATAGAAAACTAATGATGCAATAACAAATAATGCCCGGTAATTGGTGATAGCCGCCTATGAGCGGAACAATGGGCGCACCAACTATTAGCTGCTCAAAGAGCTGTCTTTTGTCATTGCGTTGCAATAACAATGTCCTTGTAAAAGTTACATGTACTATAATATCCGTATGCTATATAACACCCAATGTGAACATGACGTGTTTAGGCCTTATAACTAAATACAGTGCACCAATGCAGTGCACGTTAAAACAAAAGACTTTACTAGCGCTAGCTAACAAATATGAAACGTCAAAACCTCACGAGCAATTGATGACAACAAATTGTTACGTCAAATGCCACCACCAATACAGTTTCTTCGCGAAGAAATATTCAATCAAATTTCATGTTTGGAACATATATAGGCGATTTCGAATGGTTCGAGGTGAAAATAACGAATATCGTGTCCGATAAACACTCCTTCTTTCTTCAAGGTCCCATACGATTCAAACATAATTTACAATGTTTATTTGCAAATAATAATCTCTCTGGGAGTATATCGATTTCCCCGATAATGCAGATATTCGTTTTTTTCGTAAAATTAGTTTTATAATTTTGCAGGGAGACAGTGTTCCTTATGATTCGAGCAGAATTTTGGTGAGTGCATTTCGAAAAAGAGCGTCTTCCATCTACCGAAACGTTTTGATGATGCAGGCTCCCGACAATACGATTATCATTTCTGTAATATCTTTAATTTGCAGATGTTTGTTTGTTTCGTATGACATATTTATAAACGCCCTATAATCTTATTTCAAGCAGAATCTTACAATGTCTTTGATTATAAGTATCATTTTGAAATCACGGTGTTAAAATACAATAGCTGATTTTGCGAAGATTTAGAGAACCTACGTTTCTATTCTTTAAATCGATCTTGCATGAGAAAGAACAGATTGATGATATAGATATATGACCTATTTTGATCGGATGACAGAACAAAATAATGCAATATGAAACAATAATGTGCCAAAACATACAGAAAGAATACAATTATACATATCGTTTCTGTTTTGTTCGTGAACAAATTAATATAATTGAAGTATTGAACACATTGATGAACAGAAATGAACAATCATGCCAACGTCAATGCCTAAAACACTTCGATGTTGGGAGGGAAATTAACAATCAGAATAAGAATCTAAATCAATGTCATGTACGTAAAATAATAATGAAACAAATCAGTAGCCAAAGTGAAAATTTTAGAGTCAAATCTTTCAAGACGAGAGCGGACACACACGCGGGGATTACATGAATAACTAATGCGTTGGAACGGGCGCGAAAGCTTTTCAAAGTTAAGCTCCCATTCACAAATTCACAATTCACAAAGAGCGCTTCGCCGTTAAGCGCACCGCCCCCCCCCCCCCCCACTGAGTGTTATGTAGGGTACGCATATGCATGTTCCCTCCTTTTGAAAACAGCCCCCTAAGTCCGGTGTGTAAAGTCAATACGGGCCGGACTTTTGTGTACTAGACGAGCCGGACTTTGGTGCGTGAAAAGTACCCCTTTATAACAATAAGTCTCCAAACAATAGGCAGATTTGAAATTGTGAGCATGTGCTTAAATAGTTATATCGGGATTTCCTGGTTATATTGAAGACGTGGGCTAATATTGTGTACATGTGTGCCCAGTATTTCTCCCTGATTGTTCGACCAACATTAAATTGCTATTGTCCAGCTGACTTTTCTATAGGCTTTTCTACCCTCGGCGCTGAAGGGCAGTGGCGGATCCATGGGGGGGGGGGGGGGGGGGGGGTATTTTTTTTACCTTTTCTGGGGTTTGCCCCCCCCCCCTGGCGCTCAAGGGGGGGGGCGGGTGCAAATTTTAAAATTTTCGAGGGCCAACAAAAAAAATGTGCTCACACCCCCCCCCCCCCCCCCCCACTGAGCGACTTTTCGGCCGGCGCGATTTTCAAATTTTCGGGAGCAAAAAAAAAAAAAAATTGTGCTCACTACCCCCTCCCCCCCCCCCCCCCCCCCCCCCCCCCCCCCCCCCCCCCCCCAAATAAGCGACTTTTCGGCCGGCGCGATTTTCACATTTTCAAGAGAAAAAAAAAATTGGGCGCCCTCCCCTAAGAAATCCTGGATCCGCGCCTGCTAAAGGGATTGCGGAAAATTTAAACACTATTTGTGTTTCGTGATGACCCAGTAGAAGAAGAATAAGGGCTAGCCCCCCCCCCCCCCACCCCTAAAGAAAAAATGGCCCAAAACAACGCAATCATTATAAATTCCGTCTACTACTTGATACCAAAACGCGCATGATGGATCATTATTGAGACAGCTAGTGAGACAGTTCTGTTACGAGAAGCAATTGAACGAATTGCCATGGCTTGTATTATTTGTTTTAGAACGCACTACGCTCTTTCGATACCACGTGGCCCCAATTAAGCACAATATATACGTATTTCAGTTCTTCTCAACAATGACCTAGATCTAAAACTGGCCGCGGCTGTAACCCCCCCCCCCCCCCCTTCTTCGTAAAGAAATATTCGTTAAAATTCTTTGGAATAGAATGATAAACTAATTTCTTCTTGAGATATGTTCGAGGTGAAATTTCAAACATTATTTCCTGGTAACGCTCTTCTTTTTTGATGCATGTTCTATTCTTACGATTTAGGCATAATTTACTATGTTGATTTGCAATTGATAATCTCCCTGGGAGTTTTGCGATATCCCCGATTATACGGGTACAGTGTATTTAATTTTGTTCGTAACATTAGTGTTTTGCAAAGAAAGAACATTCTGAAAATGAGCGTCTTCCTTCTAACGAAACATATTGATGATGTTCTTGACAATACGGATATCATATGCATAAACAAAAATCGTAATACAGATAAAACGCTTTTTAAATCAAATTCAAGGAGAAACTACGACATTCTTGATTAAGTATCATTTTCAACATCAAGGATTTAAAAATACGTTATCTAATTTTAAGAAGATTCAAAGGATATATGTATTGAAATAACAGACTGATGATATAATTATATGATTTATAATGATCATACGACAGAACTGTTTACAAGATGCAACGAAAATTAAAGAAAACAAAACATGCGATAACATCGCTAGAGGAAATATACACAATTTTAATGTAATATGAATCAAATAAAGTGTCAAAACATGCACGAGGAAAACAATGTCAGAGAGAGTGTGGTAAATATAAAATAAAGTTGTTTTTGTCGTGAACAAATCAATTTGTATTAAAATTAATATACTGAACACAATCATGAACAGAACAGGAGGAGATGAAATAATGAACAATCATGCCAACGTTAACGCCTACAGAACTCCGATGTTGAGAGGAAAATAAACAATCAGAACAAACATTGTAACCAATGTCATGTACGTAAAATAATATTAAAACAAATCAGTAGCCAAAGTAATGCTTTTCAGAGTCAAATCTCGCAAGACGAGAGCGACACACAAGCAGGCACTATACATGAATAACTAATGCGCCGGACCGGGCGCGAAAGGGCGCGAAAGCTATTCAAAGGTTAAGCTCACATTCACAAGTGTCAAGTGCTTCACCGGGGCGCGCCCCGGCGGGGTAATTTCGTAACAATGAGACTCCAAACAATAGCCAGATTTTAATGAGCTGGGAACCATCTGATGTCCTCTCGTATCCGACGCAAAAAGGCGCCTCCTTTGTTCTCATATCCTGCTCTGCGCCCCGACGCGTCGCGGCGCAGTCGCAACTTTGGAAGGCTCCCCTAACATTACAGCAATATCAGTACAGAAAAAGCAGAGAATGAAATGACATGAATAAAATATCTCTTTCAAATCCAATTGTTTGTTCTTCATTTATGAGCTAGCCAGGAGCAGGAAGCTGTGCTAGACTGACATTGTTTGATGTGGGAAGCAAGAAGTTTGTATCTCATAGTGATCTCCATGGCATCATTACACCTTCTATTATCCACTACCAAGTGAGTCTTTTTTAACCTCATTTCATTTTCATTTCATTTCATCTTTATTGATTCATGGTAATACATAGAAATTCTGTTTCCATTGGCTTTGTTACAAGGTACAATAATTTTGCAATTACAATGCACATAACGGTAGAACATAAAACGAATCACACTAACGTTTTACAATTGTTATATATTTGCCTACATGAATATGATTATTTACTTACATACATATCACAGGTTCTTGGCAAAAAAGAGAGTTTTTCTGTAAGAAAGAGATCCTAGTTATTCTTTGTTCAAATGTACACTATATCATTGATACTTTGAGGTGGACTTTGCTGCCCATGGACTAAAAGGGCTAAAAACTTGTATAAGCATGATCAAATGTTATTTATTAAGTACTTTTTTGTGCCATGGGCTAAACAATAATACAATATGAAAACCATTGTTATCTTTACTCACAGCCAAACAGCAGAGTAATAGCCATTGGCAGTCATAGCAGAAGAACTCTGTCTCTCTTTTCATTGAAGGAATCTTTGTTAAAGAGATTACCTCAAACAATTGTAAGTATACCTTATTAATAAAATACAAATGTAGTTATTTAAGACACCTTTATTATGACTTGGAATTATTAGGATAAATGATTTAAATCGAACTATCTAGTTCGCCTTCTGTAGAATATGCACAGATTTCATGATCTCTTATAATTCTGAATGTACTTTGAATAGGTTAATGTTGATTGATTAGAGTTCATATGCTGAAACTGTCTGTAAGTGTATATTACACATCCATGCAGCAATAGAGCGTGCACTTCCCAAGTCACTATCATTTCATTAGATTATTGTAAATGATGTAAAGTAGATACATGTCATGTATATTGCAAATACCATATAGTAAATTAATCACATATCTTGTTTCTAGGAGCTTGGCGAGACTGAGAGGCCTGTGGGAGTATGTTCTATACCTGACACGAAGGGCAGTATTCTAGTTGCTGTTACGAAGCCCGTTTCAGATGATGGCTCTTTCAGAGGTGTACTTCCATCTTCAGCTCTGGAGGCAAGGCATTTATTTCTGAAGATAGTGGATCTTCCTCTTGGACAATCAATTAGTACTAAAGGTGAACAAAATAATGATATTATGTCCACAGTATACCCATTCTTCAATCTATCAAAGGGCAGTCCAACCTTTGTAGTATAAGCTATTTATGGGAATGTTGTCCAGCACTATGTCACAGTGACATTACCGATTCAGCCAGTTTAAACATGCCCATATATATCTATTGATTAAAATTATTTTTTAATCATAAGTTTCTTATTTTTTGTCAGATTTCATTCAAACTTTCACCAGTCTCTTTTTCTGACTTTTCTGCTTTCTGGAAGGATAGTTTATTAATGATGATTCTTTCATTAATCCTCATTAGCATGTTTGTTCCTAGCTATCTGTGTGTCTTTGCATTTTGATTAAAATGAATTTATTTTGAAATGTTTCTCATTTTTAGATTTTGATAACTGTGCATGATGTGTTCAAAACAAAAGAAAATACATAACATGTGTCAGTAATCAAAATTCCTTCCTTTCAATCATTAGAGACATGAATAAATCCATAACACTCAAGGACAAAATGTGCATGTTTTCATCACCTATTATATCTGATTACATTTTTACAGAGGTTACTGACAGTAGGTCCTTCCATCGTGATGGGGCAACCTCCGCTCCAGGAGATGATGATGACGATGGTCTCCAAACACTGCTTCTACCTGGAGGAGTGGCATTCAATGCAAATGGAGAATCAATGGGGAGGAGGTTGGGAATTGAAGTTCTAGAAGAGGATGAGGAACATGATGCTGCCTCAGTAGACCCGTTAATAGGACACACATTAGATGTGCAACCACAATCTAGTCAGAGTGGCTTGTATCCTACTCCTGAAAATGCTGGTATGTTTTCAGGATTATGTTTAGTACTTTTTCTGCCTCCTCTTTTTCTTGATATTGCTTGCTTCTTATTACCTATACATGTGCTTTTCTTGCAAATTTCTTTCCTTCCCCTTCTTTGGCTTTTTCTTCTTCTTTTCTTCCTCCTTCTTCTACTTCTTCTTCTCTGTCTTTGTCATCTTCTCATTCTTCATCATCATCATCATCATCAAACTTTTTACTGGTGTTTTGCTAAATGATTATACTCCTAGTTATATTTTAACCCATGCAGAATACTTTGGTGTTTGGTGGTTTACCTCATCATATGTGAACAAGTCTCTCTTAAGCTCTGATTATTTTCTTTTCTCTCACAGCATATGTCAATCTCAGGTTATTAAACGATGGACAAGTCTTCCAGAAATGCTTCCTACTTCAGTCAGGCTTGCTTCCCCTTCAAACCATTCTAGATGTCTTCCACCTGTCGCAGGTTGAGATGCAAGTTGGTATGTAGTGTTCGATATGAGGTTTTCTTCATTTTTATTTTTTATTTCATATCGTCTTTTTTCACAAACCATTATAAAAACACTGTGTAAATGAAATATACATGCATAAGAGTTATAAGAGCAATACAAGATGTACATGATGATTGTACATGATGATAGAAATGATAACAACAGAAATATTGTGAGGTAAATGATATTGAGTTGCAAGTTGGTATGTAGTGTTGGATATGAAGTTTTCACCATTTGTATTTTCATTTATATTGTCTTTTTTCACAAATGATGATCAAAAACACTGCATAAATAAAATGAAATATACAAATCTCATGGAAAAAAAGAGGCATAAGAGCAATAAAAGCAATAAAAGCAATACATGATGATAGTAATGATACCAATAGAACTATTGTGGAGTAAATGAGTTCAGCCATAAAAACTGTTTGTGATGCAAGCCTGAATGGGTCTAGAGGCAAGGTCCCCTATGTTAGAGCAGATTATAGTTTACAAAATGAACACAAGTAGAACTGGATTGATGAAATAAGAAAAAAGTCCATGCTCATCTTGATCACAAAAATTGTTTGATAAAAAAAATCCTGCAAGCTTCTATTTTTAAGACAGTTGTTCAAAGGCATCGTTTAACAATGTTAAATCTGAGATGCATGGCCCTACGTGTTATAAGTGTCTGTGATATGGTATAATATTGAAGCCCTAAAAAAATTGCGCTTCAAAAAGATCATGAAGTGCCTCAAAAAAGTAAAATCTTTGAGTGACCAGTTTTACCATACTCATTTCCCCCAATAGACTGTAGTGTTATAAAAACTGTTAGGAAAACCAATTTTTCAATTTCGATTTCCTATCATAAATACCTTGATAATCAGACAGGAGATCGGCTTTTAAAATTCATGGGTCCCTGACTGACCTAAAGGTTTATAATTATCATTGCAGCATGAGCTATATCCAGAATTTTGTTTCAGAATCTGAAACAAAGCTACCCAATCCCTTTAACAATAACATTCTGCAGTACATGTGTCATAATCTTTGTGTTCAGAGGGAATTAGTGCTCTAAGTTTGATTAATTTACCAACCTATTTTCTCTTGACCACAGGGCCTCGCTGGATTGTTCTCACTTCAGACGATGAGGGGGTAGTTCCACTTAGATTCAGCGCAGGATCATCCTATGATATTCGCGAAGCTACTGTCTAGAACCCTTCAAGATAATCTCATATTTATAGCCCCCTTCCAAGATGATCTATAGTCAGCAGCCCCATCAAACTGCATTCCTGTCATCAACATTTTATAATTGTCAGTCATTTGTGAGGATTCAATGTCATGTACATGTACATGTTAATACATTATTAGACTGCAATGTAAGGTTCTGATTAAGATCTATGAAATTTACTGGACCCCCTAATAGGATATTCCTAAGCATTGACCAAACTGTTTAGTTTGTGTCCTTTTCATAAGGTGAGGGACTGGCTACAAGAAGCTTTTCAAGCCAATTTAAAAGATGTTTTTGGACTAAACAGATTGATAACTCACAAATCATCTCCAGTAGGTTAAAGTGTACCAATCACCAATACATGTTTTGCTCTTGATGTAAGGGGTTCCATATGGCTATACTGCAATCAAAATATGAGCTTCTAATATTACTTCTACCAAGTGATATTGCAATTATATACATTCTCAGTGAACAGTTGAACCTTTGATGTGTAGACTAGTTAACGCACAGGACCTATACTAAAATAATAAATAATGTCAAGAATTGACTGAATTAAAGGTACATGTATACTTTTCAGTTCATGTTGTGTTCATTGTATCAAGATTAAGGGTGAGGAGAAGTATTTGAGAGGGAGACTTCAATGGATGAGCAAAGAAATGTTAAAAAGAGGAGAAATAAAGAGAGAGAGAAAAAGAGGGGGAAAGAGGGATAGAGATAGGGAGAGAAGGATAGAGATAGGGAGAGAGAAAGAGAGATGGAGAGTAGAAGAGGGAGACAGAGAAAGGGAGGGAGAGAGAGAATTTTAACTTATATTGTAAATGAACACAAAACTGTCAGGAATATAACATGTGCCATCTATCAATTTAATAATTTGGGCGGCAGAAAAAAAGGCAAAACAAAAGAAATCTCCAGATTAGTTCAAAATGACTCAACATCTTTTCTGATAAATTTATTTAAGGCTATGGAGAAAATAATTCTGAAAATCTGTTGGAAGAGTAGCTATAATTATATGAGAGAAGTCTGGGAAATAAATATAATGGAATTTATTTTCATAATTGAGTGAGTTGGCAATGAAAATTAAACGGAATTCCTGCAATATACGATATACTCTTCCTACTCCCCCTCTCCCACCATAAATTGTGGGCTCGCCCTCTCTCTCTATTTCTGTCTCTCTTGCCCTATTTATTATCAATCTAAGTCACTGGTGTTAGCTCATACTATCTCCGCAAAAAGTTCTGCCTAGCTTGTATAAGCATTCGTATTAAAAAAGTATTGAATGATATACATGTATATGTTTGATGGATACAAAACATTGTAGTCCTTTGTGTAATAGGTTCACTCTACTCGTAAGTTCATTATAGGTTCATTGTATCAATAAATTGAAACAATTACATTAAAATGTATACTCTTAGTGAGATAAAAGGGGGTGAACATATCAAAGTCTATTATTAAATAAAAAGAAGAAAAAAAAAAACACTAGCTGAGTATCGAACCCGATACCCTCCAATTATCGCCTATCCACAAGTCTAATGTGACTCTGCTAATCGCTTGTTTTCTTTATATTAAAACTCTGTTTTGTTGATGGAGTCGGAAATGAGTATCCTCCAGACAGTCGCTCGCTAAAGAAAGATGATAAATATTACCTGTTTACTTTTCTTTTCATTTTTTTTTAGGGGGGAGGGCGGGGCCCCTTTATTAAAAAAATATATTTTGACAAGTCAATATTATGGACTAAAAAAATAACAAAAAGATAAAGCAAAATAAAACTACAGAGGGTAAATGATTAGCTGGGAATCGAACCCATTATCCGACTGTGATGCGTTCGTCGTGCAGTCAGGGGCTCTCTGTATTGTCAAAACGTATTACCCCCTATCCCATCCTCTTTTTCTTTTGTCTGACCAAAGAATATTAATTGATTGAATGCACTTTAATTTAAGTCGGCGACGTTGATATTTATATGTATATATTTATGGAAAAAAATCAGAAGTTTACCGTAGATTATTTCATTTGAGCACATCTCATGCTTTTAAAGTTCAGTTCATAGCTTGATTATCGATGATATTCAGTGGTAGATGTGGACCTGGGGGCGTTTCATGAAACAATCAGTCGGTGGTTTTCACCGACTAATATCATGTTCACCGCCAATTCTTTTGTCACCGACTATTTTCCAGGCCTGTGATTGGTCAAATTTAGTCAGCGCTGACTAAATTGTTGGTGAACATGATATTAGTCGGTGAAAACCACCGACTAATTGTTTCATGAAATGCCCCCCAGTTACAAAGACTGCAACAGTGGGTACGGTTAAAAGCAGATGAGATCTCGTCGAGCGAATTATGATTTTCATTTCGCCGATGCCACCAATACAAGAAATGACTGCGTTTCTTATGAGCTGGCACGGCTGACTTACTTTGCCTATACACTATTATGTAATACCACCTCTGTGTTCGTGTTCCTCTCTTTCTCTCTCTCTTCCTCTCTGTCTCTGCCTCTCTCTCATTCTCTCTGTCTCTCTCCACTTTCTCCCCCTTCTCTCTCCACTCTCGCGCTCTCTCTCTCTCTCTCTCTCCACTCTCTCCCTTTCTCCCTCAACGTTCCTTCCATTTTCTCTTTATTTCCTGCTCCCCATTCTCCTTTACTTCCTTTACTCTCTGCGTTTTACATTTGCCTGGTATTCACCAATTTGTTTTCTTATCCACATGTTCCTAATGTTTTTTATAATCTTGAATTATTGTTAAATAACGAATTGTAAATGCGTTTTTAATCAAATATTTGTAAATCATGCATGCAATTCAGCCTTTGGCTGCGATATGTTGATGAATAAATACCTTACCTTATCTTACTTTAATTAAATGGAATCCTGTACATTGACCTTTGCTGCATTCTAATTCTAAAATTCTCCATTCTAAATAAAAAAGACTAAATAAATGCCTGGTTTAGGAATATCAATTTAGAATTTGAATGTGGAAGTTAACCAATGTTGATTTTTAAAGAGGAGGGGGGGGGGGGGGGGGGACCTACTTGGAAAAAACACTTGTATCGAAGTGGATCCATCGAATGTACAAACACATTCGATCACTTAGAAGCCTAACGAAACCAAAATTGTATGCAAAGAAAGTATCTTGTCAGCATTCTATAGGAAGATGATTGGTTATATTATGAACAAAATTCTCTCAGAAAGTAGGTATGGCAAAGATACTTTCAGTATCGCACAGAAAACGAAGTGTGTTTCCGTAAGTACTTCCTTATATGTACCACGTCCAATATGCAGGCCACATGAATGAAAAGGTTAATTCCAATGGCATTCGAAAGATAATACTAATTTAGAACTTCCCTCAAATGCGCCTTGAGCATTTAATTAAAATGGATAATGGCGCTATATAAATCTCATGTATTATTATTATTATTATTATTATTAAAACGAAAGGGTGGAAAATGTATCATTGTGGGAAAATAACGACGGTTAATTGAAGACTCGGTTTTAAGGATTGCAGTTGTTTTATTAAAAAGTCTGATTTTCAGACCCTTGTACCGAATGGTCGTAAGTTTTGTGCTGCGCAAAGATTTAATAAGTTTAATTTTGGCCATTACAAGAAGTGGGTTGTTAATTTGTAAAAATGCATCAAAAATAATTTTTGCCTAGTGCACATATTTACAATATTTTTTACAACATGAAACATTTCTATAATCCAAAGACTGAGTATTTGAAAGCTTAATGGTTACAAATATTATATGATGAAAAAGTATGGTAAAAATGTTAATAGGCCCAACTAAAACAGTACCAGTATTGAGTGACAGGTACTTAAAGAGAGTAAAGATATATATATATATATATATATATATATATATATATATATATATCGTTTCTGATTATGAAATCGTTATTTTTATCTTGTGAATGATGACTTAGCGCGTACTCAATAACTCTGCGTATTTTACAAATACAGATTATACTGTTTCGAAAGATAAATAAATCGTCATTAGATCTGAATATTGAGAAGCGAAATAAAAAGAAAGTAAAATGATGTACCATATGTAGAACACCGTGACATAAGAACACATACACAATCATAGCCATGATAGAGAAACTCGTTATTTAAGGTCCTAAGTACGTAATTATGCTTGGATGTTATCGATGTTATATTATTTTATGTTGATATTACGGTCGGTGAGAAAGTAGAGATACTTATTTTCTAGATTATAAAAGTGAAAATCATATTTTGGTCTTTGTTCTCGTACGGACGAAGACAAAGCAGTTTAAATGGTGCCAGGTAAACATGTCAGAAGTAAAAATGTCAGAGGTAAAAATGTCAGAGGTAATAATGTCAGAGGTATAAATGTCAGAGGTACAAACAAAAAATGTCAAAAAATGACATGACATTTTTACATTTGACGTGTTTACCTCTGACATTTTTACACCGAGCCGTTTCAAGCAATGACGATAACTTTAAAAGTAAGCAGAGGCAATTCACCTCCTTCTCTCTTGCATAAATATAGGAATAAAACCATGTCATCTGATCACACCTTTTTTAAAACAATTAATTTTCTAAAACAGAATCTTAAGTGCACGACATTCAAAGACATCGGCTCATGATAAGACTTTTTTGTATACAAAAAGAAGTGTAATTAGAGTTCAAATCAGTTTTTATCTTAATTCCCTTTCTATCTTCAGTGGATAGTAAAGTTTGAGCTTCCATTAGAAGCAACAATTCACATCACGGTAAAGACTTCAGAAAATAGTAGTATATTGTTTGTACACTCCAAATGATGGTATTATCTAGAGCCATTAAAACATTCCTGAACTTGCCACACCAGCATATAGTTTTAAGGTGTTCTATAGGAAATATACCAGGCAATATACCTTTGAAACACATATTAATTGGAATCCGAAAAGTTTCATACAAACTAATTATAAAGAGAAAAATTTAATTAATCATTTATATGTTCTTAGTCTAATAAATATCAAGATACAACGGATCTACACAGACTCCCTCATCCGTAGGCAAGATTGATGTCTGTCCTGCTTCTGGAGTGGCCTTCAATGTATTCCTCGTGGGTCGTTCATCTGGCATGTCATAGAGTGGAAACTCTTCAGCATCATCTCCTGATCCTGGCATCTTGACATTCTCATACTGGTCCTCTTGCTGAAGGGTATCCCTGATCTGCTCGTGTTGAGTGATGATGACACTGTTGCCATAGCCATGATCTGAATTGCAAGATCTACCAGCTTTTGATGTTGAATTTGACTCACGATTGGTTCCCCTCAATTCCTTAATGGAAGTAGCATACTCTGGACCCTTCCGAGATCCATCTTCAACTGATTTGTAACAAACTTCAGGATCCTCCTTTTTATCTGCATGATCTGCACTTCGTTGATCCAAACTTGTTCTCCTTAATTCCTCAATGGAAGTAGCATACTCTGGACCGTTCTGAGATCCATCTTCAACCGATTCGTAACAAACTTCAGGAGTCTCCTTTTTAATCGTCGCATTGCCAGTGTGTTTATCTTCTT